TTTCAGCAATCCAAATGGTGCATAAATATCCACATTCAAATGCTGAAATGAAAAGAGAAAGAACTATTAACAAATAGTGTGGAGTTAAAACTTCAAACATGATTCACCCAGAATCACACTTAATTTATCTTATAATATTAACAATATAAAAATAGAATTAAAACCATCAGCGGCAAACAGCATTAAAAAGTATTTAAAATAAAATAGGAATTCTAGTTAAATCTGTTGAGCAAATAAAGATGTAATGTAACTCTTAAAGATTATAGTGCAAGGTCACAGATACTGTATGCCCCAGCTAGGTAGAAACTTGATCATTATCAATTTTGGTAAAAATGGTCTGAACAACAAAAGTAATGCAGATTAAAGAAAAAAATAATATTTTTTTTTTCCCACTTAAGATGTTATCTATGTAATCTATATGGCAACTTTTATTATTAAAAGTAAACAAGGTAAATGTAGTCATGAGGAAGCAAACTGCAGCACTTGGAGAGAATCCAAGCAAACACAAGAACATATAAACTCCACACAGATAGCCCCCAAGGAATTAAACCCAAAGGACCAGTTGTGTGAAGCAGCAATATTAGCCGCTGCATCACTGTGTATCCCAGCTTTCAAACTGTTTGTTAAAAGACTCTAGGTAAAGAAAACAAAATCCACAGTATGTTGTTATCCCTGTTATTCACCTGAAGAAGGCTCCACGGCCGAAACGTTGTGTTCTCTTTCTTCTTTTTTTTCAGCATGGAATAAACCTATTACTTGTTCCTTACCACTGATATTGCTATTTGATATTTTAGAATTTCTCATTAAATATTTGCAGTGTTATTATACCTTATTCTTGTCTCTTCAGTACACGTTGTGTGTGTTCTAATTAAATATGAAAATACATTAATTGCAACAAGTAAAAAAAATAAAAAAAAGAAAATGCAGATTATGTTAAATATTTTATCCATTTTTGAAGCATTCGAGCATTAATGGGATTATTTATTTTAGAGGAGTTTATGTAGAAATAAAGATTTTTAGTGTCAAAACTGTTTCACTTTTTGTTGCATCTTTTTTGTTGCAAATATAATGTTGATTTTTAGGTTAACTCTGCATTACCCAAGAATCGAACGGATTTCTACCGTAACTTTACAAAAATAATTTCTTGGTCTTTGGAAATGTACTTGTATTAACTTAAGCTATTTTTATCACACTACTTGTATGTGCAATGTATGTGAAATACGGTACCTGAAACGGGTATACAGTTTCTACTAAGTATGATTATTTTTTTACAATTGTTGATACTTAAAATATCCCAGATATACTGTATAATAAATTCCTACAGAATTAAATAATTAGATGCCCACACCACCTGCATGTATACATCCAGTACATATGACTCAATGATCTCATATTTTGACCATGCATTATCTCCATCAAACGCAGACTGCTCAGTAAAGAGCAGAAATGTCAGTTCAACGAAACTGTCCTTTGTTAAGCTTTCTATATTAACAGAATATATCTGTTTTCAATGTTATTTTCAAATAAGATGTGTTTTATTTTCCTAGCACATGTGGCACTAACATTTTAAAAGAATAATTACTCTGCACTAGG